CATGCTTTGTATAATTAATCTGTGAAGAAGCTTTCAAAAGGACAAGAATAAGTGGTGGAGATTCATTCGAACAAGTGGTGGCTACAGAAAAGGCTATTGCTAAGGATCCTAACTAATGGTTCAAGAAGTGCTATAAATTCACACGGTTAGAAGGAAGCATTTGCCAACTTTGAGAATTATATACTGCTAGAGCTCTCTTGACTTTACAAAGCAATTTATATTTTGAATGTAATTTCTGATTTAATTCGTAAGAATATTTATATTGTACTGCATGTTCAGTACGTGATACTGCTGAAGCATCTTGTGAAGATTGTTCGGGTATTCGTGTGTCAGTCCTGGATAGGTGTTAGAAAGAGTGGTAGTGGTAAAGGCTGGAGGCCGTATTCAATTATCTCTTGTAATACTCCTTTGGTGAACATCTATAGTGGATTGGGCAGACGTGGGCTGCCCCGCAGACGTAGGAGAAGGAGCTCCGAACTGCGTAACAATTTCCTTGTGTTTTTATTTTATTTATGATTTCTGCAGTTATTATTTATACTTGCTTAAACGAGTTTAATTAATTAACTAAATTGGTGCTTAACTCAATTAACGTATAAAAACACATATCTTTTATATTTCAAGTATCATAATACAATTTCAATTAATATATTGAAATGTATTTGGATAAAGTGCTTGAACTCTAGCTAATTTTCAATCTCCTTGATATAAGCAGCGGTTTGAGAGCGAAAGCTTTGTTGAACTTCAAGTGCAAGATCCTCCACACTGAGTTGACATTCCAGCCCAATCTGTGTAACATGTCATCATATCAACAATGTCATGCAAGTGATTAATTAACTAAAATCAATTTTATGGTTGAATAGGAAAGCAAAATTTAATTATTTAAAGAAATTAAAACGTAAACTGCTTTACACAATTTTCACTTAAGCTAAGATGCATTTAGCAAATATTCCTTGCATGAAACTATACTCATAGTTTAAATATATTGTCATGTTAAAACAAAAAGAGTAAATGATATATACTCCACAATCAAAATATCTATTTTGATCATTTTAAGTGAATTGTCAATGTGGTGAGAATTCTTCACAATTTTTTATAAGCACGACTTATTAAAATATTCTCAAATTGGTTAAAAATCTGGTGGGAGGAAATATTACCTGCCTAGTATCCTTTACCAACCAAAAAAGTTGGCCAGTAAGAGTGGAAATTCCAGTAGTTAATTAACATACGCCTGTTTGGTAAAATAATTAACCTATAGGTCAATTTTGGTTTATTTGACCACTATTAGTTTTTTGATTTGGTTAAAAATCAATATAAGTATTTGGTTAATTAGTTTTTTTTTTTGTAACTCCAAAATACTAAAATTCAAAAACCTGTTTAAAGCAACTTTTTCAATTAGTTTTTTGAGAAAAGCAATTATATTAAATAGCTATCAGCTAACAACTAATTTACCAAACGCCTTCCTACAATCAGCTAACGTTATATCATCTAATTAACCCAATCAGCTAACAGCTAACAGCTAACAGTCATTTACCAAACATGGCCATAAACTTTATTAATGTTCACCACAAGGCATGGTGATCGATGTACTTGGCCTTTCAGGCCTCTGCCTAAAAAAATTTCCTCCTAACACCTGTTAGTTTTAACTGCACAGTTTTATTCTTGCTAAGATTCGAACGGGTGACGAATTGGCTATTAACCAACTTAATTACGCACCTTAACAACAAAGGAGTAGAGAACAGTGTCCTCCATGCTGCTGATGTTCAAGTGAAGGATCTCAAAGGAAAGCCTCTCCAAGACGTTGATTATCCTGACAATCTGCCCAGGAATTCGCCGAGAAACCGTCCTTAAAACGACGTTGGTGCCGGATATCCTTGCCTCAACGTCGGCCACCGGAGAGTTGCAGCAGGCTCCCACCTCTTTGAAGCTATTAAAATTATTATTGTTGAGAAATAATGGAGTTTCGGGCAGCCTAGGGCTTGGGACTGGGCTAGGGCTTAAACTCTTCCTTCGTTTCTTGGCCTCCAGTGATTGTTCAACTTGGTGCAACTCCTTGATGAATTCAACCACTCCCCCTATTATGGATGCTTGATCTCCCTACACAATCTCAATCAATCAATCAATAAAAATTATAAATTCAAGGGGATAATGTAAGACTTTTCTGTATAATATATGTTATTAAGGCCTTAATTATGTCGAGCAAGTTGTATTATTAAGTAGTTTGGTTAGACTGAATAGCTAGAACTTGTTACCGTTAAGAATAATACCAATATACCATCAAAGATTCTGAGTCAAGTATGAGACAAAACGGTTATCATTACTCTACAAGTCTACTGTTCAATAAGCAACACAAATGAGAGGACTGTACATCAACTATGGCTGGAGATTAACATCACTAATGCTTTCGCTATTACGAGGTTATGTCATTTCTTGTGATTAAAACTTAGTTGAATCAAAGTTAGACTATTGATATCTAACAGATAGATCAAAAGAAAAGAGTAGATTGATCGAATACCCGTTTGATGTAGAAACAAGGGGTTAAGGAGCGGAGGATTTTGAGATGTTCGTTCATTTGTCTTCTCCGGTTTCTCTCCACCGCGATATGAGACATCTTAGCTTAGCTTAGCTTGCAGATTGATTGATTCAGTTGCTGCCCTTTGACAAGGTTGACAAAATGGTCCTAAAAGAGTTGTCTATTTATAGAAAGATGGAATGTGTGTGGGGTGGGGGAAAGCCCTAGCTAGCTCGCTAAAAGCATAGTATTTAATGCATGTTACTGCTCTCCCGTGAAACTGTTAATTGTAGTTTTTACTACACTCAAAAACCATGCCAATATATATGCATCTTCTCTCTCTCTCAACAACTACCATGCATGTGTTACCTTCTCACGCTTATTACCCTACAACAATTACGTTGTCCGTGTGAGATAAAAGAAATGAGGGTAATAACCCAACAGGATAGTTCAAGTGGCAAATGAACTCTCTTTGTGGGGGATAACCTGGGTTCAATTCTTACAAGTGACGATTCCCTTTGCTTCTGTGCCTCCCGGACCACAAATAATGATAATTTATAAGTCATAACATCATAATAATATTAAAATCAATAATTAATGAACCTACAATTTGGTAAACAAAGTTGAAAATATTGATTTTTTTGTTCAATTTAGCAATTTTTTCCTTTCAAGCGGATCGCAATCATTATTGTGTGGACCATGGTCCATACAAGTTGTGTGGACCATATTTTGTATACTATAAAATAATATACATTTAGTTCAAAAATAATATACATTCAGCACAGTACAAAAATAATGTACATTGTATTCAGGGGATGTACATTATTTTTGTACTGAGTGTACATTATATTGTATAATGTACATTCAGTACAAAAATAATGTACATTTAGTATATTAAAAATGTATTTTTTGTCATGGTCCACGTAACACTGTGTAGACCATGGTCCACGCAATAATTTGCCGATGGATCAGAGTCGGGCTTTTTGGAGAATACAAATGAAATTTTGAGGAATAGAAAAAAGATATATATTTTTTTAATAAAAGTAGAAAATTGAAGTTGGGAAAATAAAAAAGCCTGCTTACCCAACTAAAAATAATTATTTTTTATGATGAGAGAAATTCGTAACTATTACTAGGAGTGTGTATAGAATAAATTCCACATAACAAGTAAACTATAGTAGTAAGGCTCTGTATATATACTATAAGTTCGAACGAGGAGACATTATTTTAGAAAATTGAACTTGTTAACTTCAACTCATGGAACATGGTTGATATTTAACTCAAGAAGCACTAGTGTTCCATTATGAAATGCTTAAACGAGGAAGGATGTGTAAATATTTGATATCCTTAAATCTATGGTTTGACGTAAAATTAATGAAAGTAATGTTTGGCATACGAAAGGCAAATGTGCATGTCACAAAATTTTTATAAAGTAATAAGGTTGATGTATGTTTAAATACTTCTTGAAATATTTTATCGATGAGGTTGACTAATTTTGGCAAAAAGTATATTCTGAAATTTTTACTAGAAATACATTTTTCGATTCTTATTTGAAAACCCATAAATAAAAAGTACATTATTTGTATACGTAAAGTACATTATTTGAGTACTGAAATTACACTATTTTATATACTATCGAATAAAGTGGCACCTCTATTGTTCTCTCAAATGGGAGGTCTCAGGTTCGAATCCCAGCCAGCGGCCATTGACTCTTTATACTTGAATAGGTTGAGAAAGTATGTATGGACATATACTACATTATAATAGAATCTAGACAAAAAAAAAATGTACATTCAATACACAAAATATAAATTTAGTATATTAAAAAATAAAAATACAATTCATTTTAGGTTAAAAGTACATAGACAAATTAATGCACAACACCCTCGGCTACCCATATGTCAATATTATTCTTTTTGCAAGAGTTACACCAGGAGTCAAACACAAGTCTACCCCAGTTAGGCAATACGCCAACAGTACTCTGTTAGAAGGTCCTACCGGGAGTCGAACCCAGGTCACTGGATTCAAAGTCCAGAGTGCTAACCACTACACCATAGAACCCTTCTTTGACAATCTAATGGCAATTATTTTACTATATTATGTCTTTAAATAAATTTATCTATTGCAATTGAGATAAAATAATCAATTTTTAAAGATTCACTTTTCACTAATCGAGGAAAAGTTCATATAGTTTTGGGGGTGAGAACTGAGAAAGTGTAGAAGTTTGACATTTGCAATTATATGGAATTAGTCTTCATACTTTTAAAATGGTACCCGACCTGGTCTTTTGTTAGAATTTCCATTAATCTACTATTATTTTCAAGGGCAGAAGCGTCATTTTATTTGCTAAACCATATTCCTTCCATTTCCAAGGGAGTTTCTCTGTTACTCTGTTAGAAGCACCTCTCCCCTGGCCTCCGCCGCTCATTTCACCGCCGTTCCAAGAACTCGTCGTCAAAACATTTCGCAAATGACGCTTGTAGCTGTAAATAAAAATTCTTTCTTATCTTCTTTCTCTCAGTAGCTGTAAAATCAACCAAAAATTGCGGCTTCTTCTAGGCGATCAACCGGACCAATCCTCCGATCACTCTCGCCGGTCGGTAGATTATACTCTTCCTCTCAGAAAACGTCGTCGTTTTCCAACTCCGCTTCTGCTTTTGCCTCTTCGACATCTGGTTTTGCGACGAGATCTTCGACTATTTTACGCAGGTCGATGTCTCCGACCCGAGTGAATGTTTATACCGCGAGGAATTCGAATCCGGCTTCGTCCATACGCTTTTCGCTAGACCGGCCGATTTCTCCGAGCCGATCTATTTCTGTGGTAAATCGGGGCCGCGAGGTGGAGAAGGCTGGGAGTGGAGGCCGGAAGCGGACGTGTATGTGCTCGCCGACTACGTATCCTGGCTCATTCTGGAGCAGCTTGCACAATAATATGAATGTTTCCGGTGCTGGACTTGGTGGTGGTCGAAAGGGAACGGTTTTTTTTTGTGTACTCCGGTGGCCGAAACCCTAAGATCTGATGACTTTTTGTACATATAAAATTCAATTATAGAAGATAATTATAAATTAATTATGAAAAGAGAAAAAAACAAATAGTTTGGGTATCAAAACATTTCGCAAACGTCATCAAAGATTGTGTAGTTGATGGGGGTTGTTCTTGTTTGTTTTTGGCGAGGGAGAAAGGCTGAGGGCTACTGGTTTTGTCTTCACGTTTTGATGAAGATGATGAAGAAATTCCACTAAAATGATGCTTATGTCTTCAAACTAACGCTAGATAGATGACAATTCTAACATAGGACTACATTGGGTATCGTAGAGAACTAAATTGAATACGTTTAATTCTTTGAGACAAAATCGAGTATTAGCTAATAGTCGGAGGACCATTTTGGATATTAACTCAATTTATAAATGTCCATGACATTTTAATTGCCATTAAACTTTTAAAAACTCGTTAAAATAATAAATCAAATATCACCCATTTTTTTAAAAAAGTTTAAAAGTGTGAATTAAATTAAAAAAAAATTAAAAACTATTTTAAAGTTTGAAGCTAATTTGAATTAATTATATTCAAACTTTTAAAGTATATAAATATATTTATAGAAGTCTGAATGGAATTCCTCCCAAAATATTGATAGTCAAGTACATTAGGGTGTGTTTGGAAACCCGGAAAATGACTTCTGGAAGTCATTTTCCGGGTTTTTGGTGTTTGGCTACATTGGAAAATGACTGGTCAAAGGAAAATGAGGAGAAGTCGGAAGGCAATTTTCTGGAAAATGACTTCCCCTTTTTTTTGGGGGAAGTCATTTTCCTTCCATCTTCTTTTCTTCCCATTTTCAACAGAGCTTCCTCCTCTTCAACATTTGCAATACAACTCACCAACACTTCCTCCTCCATCAATCCATAATCACAAAAGCTTCAACAACACTAGAAAAGCTATTGAGGTATATCTCATCTCTACACACCCTGAATTTTTTTTTCTATGGATTTTCAGATCTATGAGTTTGTTTTTTTTTTTTTTTTCTTCACTGGTTTCCCCGCCGGAAACCCACTGATTTCCGGCGGGGAAACCAGTGCCTCTGGTTTCCGCATCGGAAACCAGAGAACTGGTTTCCGATGCGGAAACCAGTGAGCTCGCTGGTTTCGCATCGGAAACCAGAAATGGTTTCCGATGCGAAACCAGCTCACTGGTTTCCCCGCCGGAAACCAGTGGGTTTCCGGCGGGGAAATCAGTGAAGAAAAAAAAAAATTTCAAAACTTGTATGCTTTGATTGCTATACCAGTAGATTTGATGCCAGTAGATTTGATTGCCAGTAGATTTGGTTTGAAATTGTCATATTATGACAATAGTTTTAATACTAGAAAGATAGATTGAGAGCAAAGACATTCGAATTAAATACAACTAAAATTTATGTAGCATGGAATTTGAAATAAAAATTGTTATATTATACAAAAAACAATAAAAATATATTTATCGAATAACAATTCCATTCTGTTCATTTTCTGGAAAATGAACCAAACACCAAAAGACAGTTTTCCATCATTTTCTGGAAAATGAACCAAACACCAAAAGACAGTTTTCCATTGTTCAGCCAAACACAGGAAAGGAAAATGACTTCTGGAAAATGACTCATTTTCCAGAAGTCATTTTCCAGCTTTCCAAACGGACCCTAAGTTTTACTATTCATCTCTTTTCAATCATATGAAACTTCTTGTGTAATCACTTAAACTTGTCTTCTGTATTATATATCCAAACATATTTACATAATGATCCGTTACTGTTTCAATGTTTTTATGTGTAATCTTTTGAACATTTGTTACAATTCTTCTCATATTTCGCCCAATTGCCTTTCTAGAGTGATGAAGGCAAAAACAACAATAAAAGAAGAATAAGAGATAATGGTAGAGATTGTGGTGATGACCGGAAGAAGCAGTGAAGGGAAGAGAGAGAAGATAGATGTGAAGAAATTAAATATGTTTATGTTACAGGTAGGTATACGGCAAATTATGCTATGCAACATGGTGCACACTATTGTAAAAACGATGTCATTTTGACTAAAAACGCGCGTTCCACTTTAAAAAGAAAAAATCAGTATACGTATACCTTTTATGAGATTGGATACACATTTAACGTGTGTCCCATCGAAACTGATTTTTTTTTTTTTTAAGTGGGACGCGCGTTTTTAGTCAAAATGACATCATTTTTGTAACGGTGCATGGTGCACACGGTTGCACAGCATAACTAGGGCTGTCAAAGTGGACCGACCCGTCCCATTAGGCCCGCCCCACCACGAGCTTAAATTTTCGCGGACCTTTGCGGGCCGGCCCGCCAAGCCCGCGGGCTAAGGTTCGTGCAACCCTAGCCCGCTCCGCGCGGGTTGGCGGGCTCCGCGGACCAGCCCGCGGACTTTGTTTTAGTGTTTAAAAATTTTTTAAATTAATATTTTAAAAATATTAATCTCATATATATATATATATATATATATATGTATGTATGTATGTTACACAGCAAGGCAGAATTCTGCCTTGCTGTTTAACGTTATATATATAAATAAATATATTATATATTTATATATATAATTATATATATAATGTTACACAATTCTGCCTTGCTGTGTAACGTATATTTATTTTATATTTTTATTTTTTAAGTAATAGGTCTAGCCCGCGGGTCGGCCCGCAGTCCGCGCGGGTTAGCCCGTATGGATTGCGGGTTAATTTGGGCCCGTCCCGTTAGGCCCGCATTTTCATGAGCGTGTTTTTTCATGACCCTAACCCGCCCCACTGCGGGGCGGGTGCGGGCCAGCCCGCGGGCTTCGGCCCACTTTGACAGTACTAAGCATAACCATTGATTGGTATACGTGTACCTTTTATGAGATTGGATACACATTTAACTTGGGTTATGGCCGTTTGAGAATGACAACTAACTCTGTGTTATGGTAAATTATATCGTGCATCTAGAGTTTATGAGATTGGATACACATTTAACTTGGGTTATGGCCGTTTGAGAATGACAACTAACTCTGTGTTATGGTAAATTATATATATCGTGCATCTAGAGTCCATTAATTTGTAAGGTAGAGTTTAATTTAAATTAATTTTTAGTATATTATATATTTTCTATAAGTGTACTATATGTTTATTTTTAATAAGTTTGATATATATATATATATATATATATATATATATATATATATATATATATATATATATGGTCCAGATCAGGTACGAATTATGCTTTCCTTACGAGCTGGAAGAATGCATCGCATCGGACAGGTTGGAGTTCTTACCTTCTTGGACTTTGCGCCATTTTTTGTTGATACAATCTGCAACTATCACACGAATGCACTACATGCAACTACTCCAACTCCGCAATTACTATGAAAATGCACCGCAAATCCTACATAAATGCACCGCAAATACTATATAAATGCACCGCATCTACTACATGAATGCATCACAACTACTACACGAATACACCGCAGCACACATCCGCACATCCTCCCAAGTCCCATTATGTCAGGAGTAATTGTTGTGCATATATGTAGTACTTAGGGTCTATTCCTTCATAAGTTTGCATGAGATCAGAAGTCTGATTCTCAGTTGAACGCAAATATATATATATATATATATATATATATATATATATATATATATATATATATATATATATATATATATATATATATATATATATACACACACACACACGCAAATATATCACCCTTACACCGTTATAACACCGTTAGTTTTTAATATATCTACCAATCTTACCATACACCTACATCTATCATATTTTTTTTTCCTATTTTAATTATCATTTTATTAAAATTATCATATAACAATTAATTTAATTATAAATTATATTTTAATTAAATATTTATATGAATGTTAAATTATATATGTATATATATATATATATATATATATATATATATATATATATATATATATATAATATGTATGTATATTATTTGTGTATCCATATCAATATATCATATATGTGAGTGTTAGCTTAGTATTATTTGTAAATTATTATTATATAAAAATATAATTTATTTTTTTTTGTTTTGATCACTATATTATTCAAATATATGATAATTCAAAAGTATCATCACTTTAAGAAATTGCAAAATATAATTTTAACTAATTTTTTAAATTTTGTTACGTACAAATATTTTAATATTGGGCATAAATTTTTACGCGTCGCGCGTACAAAATGCTAGTATATATATATATATATATATATATATATATATATATATATACACACACACACACACATTTTTAGTATACTGCACTAAACATTAAATACTCCACATGCGGCCGGTAAGGTTGAGGTTGATGAGGTAAGCACTCAGTGCATTTAATTATGGTAAGTTGAATGATTAACGTAAAATATATTCACCTGATATGTTAATTAAAATACCCCACTTAGGAGGGAGACAATCGTTAGGCTGTGGAATCGTGTATATCTCGAAAAGTAGATACGATTCTATGTTTATAATTATTGAATTATATGTTCATAATTATAAACCTATATATTCATAATTTTTGAGTTTCATATTCATAATTATTAAACTCTATATTCACAATTATAGAACTTTATGTTCATAATTATTTAACTATATATATGTTCGTAATTATAAAATTATATATTCATAATTTTTGAACTTCATATTCATAATTATTAAACTCTATATTCACAATTATAGAACTTTATGTTCATAATTATTTAACTATATATGTTCATAATTATAAAGTTATATATTCATAAATTTTGAACTTCATATTCACAGTTATTGAATCTCTATATTTATAATTACAGAACTATATGTTCATAATTATGTTCACAACTCTATGTTCATAATTATAGAATTATATGTTAATAATTTTTAAACTATATATTCATAATTATGAACAGTACGTTTTGGAACTATGTCCACCTTGCAAGGTGGACACGGTTCCACAACATAATTTGCCGGAAGGCGACATCGGCATAAGGGGCACCTAAGAATTTATCTAAAATTGATGTGTATATAGTGTTCATTTTAATTAATATAATGTCCCTTAGCTTCATGTATGTTTATTTGATCATATAATCGAAACAAATAGTAAACACTCAACAGGAAAGCACAATATAATGTATGTATGTTATGCTATTTAATTGGTATATTTGGCTGTGAATTAAGTCATAATGAATACAGGAACCTAACGCCTACCAAGCATTGAATACTATAATGTCAAACTGCATGATGAAGATATATTTCAGTCACATCTTGCCTCTGATTCAGTGCCAAACTCCACAACTCACATATCATACTAACTATTAACAAATGTAAGAGTCAGTATAGAGAACTCAATTCAACCAGGTAAGTAAATGCAGAATCAAATCATTCATGCGGCAAAGATGATGACCACGAATGGAGAAGTATTAAATCATGTCATGCCAATATCATCATCATCCTCACACACAATACAGTTGTAACCACTTGTTATGATCAAACGCTTAACATGCCAAAAACTATAGTTCATAATAGTGAAAGTTTGATATTATATTATTTCTTTATATACCGCCACATTTTTAAGTAACCATTCACGAACCTTCGCACGACAATTTCCTTAGCCACCAATCCTTGGACTTAGCCCTTCACTGACTTTTGCCAAACACAGTTTTTCATAAATCAATCATTGCTAGATCCAGCATCATATCATCCGCCTTATATATTGTTACATTTTCGAGAGGCTGGGTATTGTAGTTGACCCTTCACTGGCCTCGATCTGCCCAACAATCCACTAACCATCAATTGCTGGACTTAACCCTTCACTGACCTCAACACAACACAATTTTTCCTAAATTAGTCATTGCTAGATACAACACGTACCATACTTTGACCACTGATCTTATTGTTGCAAGATAATTGCACATGCTTAATTAATGTTGAATTGAGCGTTCTCCACGCCAAAAATAATAGATCTAACTAATTCATTGATTTACTGCGCAATGTGTTACCGTAAATTTTATTGACATATATGAGCCCTTGTTTGGTAAAATAGTTACTCTATGGGTCAATTTTGACTTATTTGATCACTATTAATTTTTTGTTAAAAGTCATTTACCAAACATGGACATTGACTCTGTTTGGTAAATGGTGTTAGCTGTTAGTTGATTGGTTAATTAGAGGGTAGAGGAAATTTCAATTTTGGTCATATGACTATAGGTGTCTTGTTAATTTCAGTCCTTGACTTTTAAAAGTGTTAATTTAGTACCTTAATTATGTAATTTTTGTCAATTTTGGTCACTCGGCCAAATTGCCGGTCAAATTTAGCCGAAAAATTTTAATTGTTAAAATAATGAAGGTATTTTGATCATTTCATGTCTCTTTTCTTCTTCCCAGGCGAGTCCATCCCTTCCTCTCCCATTTCCGGTGAATGCAATGAACTAAGATGATGGGGAAAGGAGGCTTGATGATATTAAAGATAGGGTTTAGAGGGAGAAAGAACGCCGCAAACGGGAGAGAAAGAGATGGACTTGCCGGAGAAGAAGAAAAGAGGCGTGAAACGACCAAAATATCCTCATTATTTTAACTATTAAAATTTTCCAGCGAAATTTAGCCGGCAATTTTGTCGGGGTGACTAAAATTGACAAAAATTGCATAGTTAAGGTACTAAATTGACACTTTTAAAAGTCAGTGACTCAAATTAACAAGACCCCTATAGTCATATGACCAAAATTGAAATTTCCGCTTAGAGGGTATAACTAGTTGATAACAATAGCTGATTGTAGAGAGGTGTTTGGTAAATTAGTTTTTAGCTGATAGCTGTTTGGTATAATTTCTTTTCTCAAAAAGCTAGCTAATTGAAAAAGTTAATTTGAGTAACTTTTTTAATTTTAGTATTTTGGAGTACAAAAATCTAATTAACCAAATACTTATTATTAAACCAAATCAAAAAACTAATAGTGGTCAAATAAATCAATATTGACCTATAAACTAACTATTTTACCAAACAGGGCCATTGTAACTTAGAGTTGTCACATCTGGCTGATACTGCATTGCCACTGCTTGCCTTGCCTATGCTTAGCTTCGTTATCGTTCATCTATCTTTCCTGCATATTCTGAAGTTACAAATGAATCAAATTGAACAATAAAAAGGAGGGAAGGGTAGGGGAACTTGTATATTGCAACAGATCAGAAAAGCAATGCAGGGCATGGCGTTATGCCTAGAGTTGAGTTATCCTCATTTCTAGGCACTTTTATCAGGCTTTTCAAGTCCTCTTTTCCTGCATTTAAGTTGAGAAGAAGACACCAGGACTATGTGGTCTAATGATATCCGGATTGGATTTCCATTTGGAAGATTATGAGTTTGAGCTTCAGATACTACATCTGTAATAGAGCCAGTAACTTTCAATAAAAAAAGTTGAGAAGAAAGACAAAATAACGCAATTTCCTACTTACCTTGACATGCATGGTTGTAATTTTTAAAAATTTATTTATTGCTATGATTTGGCCTTCCGATTAGCCCAAGTTTACCGGGATAGTTGTATGGTAACCACAGATAATTTGCAAGCAAGAATAATATATATACGGAATAGAGAAGTAAAGAGGAAAGGAGAACTCAAGATGTAAGAACTTCAAAAAGGTGCATCATATATATACATATACATATATATATATATATATATATATATATATATATACACAACAATACTACCTTTCATATCTCAACATAAATGAATTCTTAAAGAGAGGCCGGGTAAAGGAAACCTTTTATGATAATGACCATCAATATTATATTTATAACTGATAAAGATCGTGGATCTTGAATGTAAGCGATTACCTAACTGTTCATACTTAATTTTAGTCCAATTATTATTCTGGATTAGCTACTGCATCTAAGTCAACGTGATTAATAAATAAAGAGAAGGATAAAGAAAAAGAACCAGACACATAGAATTGTTCACGCAATTCGGAGTTAAACTCCTACTTCTGTGCGACAACTCACATCAGCTCAATCCATTAGATAACCACCAAAGGATTATAAGGGGAGTACAATACACACTACCGTATACATCAACTACTCGAGCACATTCTTCATTACCTAATCAAACTGGAACGTGCATGCCGAAATCAATACGATATAATCTTGCCAAGATGCTCCCAACACCTTCAAAGCACATTGCCAAGATAACCAATAGATATAGAAAACCATGAAGGGGACCTGTGAATTAAACCATACGAATTAATGCATAAATCTTCATCCAATTAGGAAAATCGAGAGCCCTTTATATAGATAGGAAATATAACCTCCAATTAGGAAATTCACCTGATTGAATACTACATTGGCCTGAACAAATGGAAGGGAATTAAGATAGGTAGAAACGGCCCATGTTTGTCTCATCTTTTTTTCGCCGATGATATGGTGCTCTTTGGCGAAGCTAAAATCGAGCAAATGCTGGTGATAAAGGAATGTTTAGATCGATTCTGTTCAGGGCCAAACCAAAAGGTTAACGTACAAAAATCATCTATATTTTTTCTAAGAATACAGACTCTGAGCTGCATTTGGCGATCACAAGGTTAGCAGGAATGCAGAAACTGACGATCTCGGGAAATACTTGGGGGTGCCCTCCATCCATGGGAGGCTCAAACATGACTCATTTGCAAATATACTCAACCGAGTTCAGAGTAGGCTTGCAGGTTGGAAGTCCCGCACTCTTTCGATGACAGGTCGTCAAGTGTTGATCCAATCAGTTCTCTCCGTCATCCTAACATACAGTATGCAAACTATGCCAATTCCTAAAGGTATAATCCTCAGACTTGAGCAGATATCTAGAAATTTCCTATGGGGTTCAGTTGATGGTGAGAGAATATGTAACCTGATTAGCTGGGAGAAGGTAACCACCCCAAAAAGGCTTGGTGGTCTGGGTATCCGCAGGTTAGAGCATATGAATTCTGCATTTCTAGCAAAGTTGGGTGGAGACTTCTAAACGATGACAATTCTCTATGGTCCCGTGTCATTAAGGTTAAGTATGCCCCGAAGGTGAAGGATATAACAACTTGGAAACCAAAAGCAAACATGTCACCAACTTGGAAAGGTATTTCCAATTCCACTGCTATTCTTTCCAAAGGAACAAGGAAGGTGGTCAAAAATGGTGCAACTACTTTATTTTGGCTCGATTGGTGGATTGGTAATCGTCCTCTTAAGGAGGAAGCCATCTGTATGATTCCTTCATCTGAGATCTTTGCATCAGTACAAGATTATTGGGACCAGATTTCGGGTTGGAAGTGGAATAAGCTCGATGGGCTTCTCTCTGATTCTGCTGTCAACCAGTTGAGAGCCTTCATTATCCACGCGGGGATTGAGGAGGAGGACGGTATAGCTTAGAACAGAGGGGCTCTTAACTGCTTCTCAATCAAAGAAGCCTATGATATAGCAGCTGGTTTTGACACCAAACCATCTACTAGTATCTGGAATAGCATTTGGAAACTAAAAGTTCCAAATCGCATTTGCATTTTCCTATGGCTGGTTAGGCACGATAGAATTATGTCCAACCTTAACAGAGCTAGAAGGGGCTTTACAACAGATGCCCATTGCTGGAAGTGTGAGAATTCAGTCGAGGATATAAGCCACATCTTGCGTGACTGCTCCAAAGCTCAAGAAGTGTGGGCAGATCTTCCTTATTTCGGCCTAATTAATAACAGAAGGCAGCCGTTTAACAGGTGGTTTGATGATGGCCTAATGGGAAATGTCCATTCGGATCGCAATTTTATATTCGCCATCACATTATGGTGGTTATGGAAGTGGAGGAACGAAGTTGTCTTTAGCCAGAAGGTACTACCTAAGAACCAGAAAGTTCAGTGGATAATCAACCAAGTTTAGGAAATCAACAATGCATTTTCAAGAGCCAAATCAGCAGGTAGTCTACGTTTGGATGCATCCTGGAAGTTAATTAGCTTGAGTAAACCACCTCTGGAGTGGGTTAAGGGGAACACGGATGGTGCATGCAATCACTCTGGTAATCGAGGAGGCTACGGAGGTGTCATTAGAGATAAGGATGGCGCTTGGATTACAGGTTTTACCTATGGTCTCGGTCCCTCAAGCATAGATGAGGAGGAACTTTGTGGCCTGCTCAGAGGAATTCAGATGGCTATATATCTTGGCTTCAAACGAGCAATTTTTGAATTTGATTCTAAGGATGTGGTTAATGCAGTCTCTAAAGGTAGACCTCTCAACAGTCAAGCAGATGCGGTGGTTCTGACATGCAAAGCTGAACTCAACTTCTTTGATGGTTGGCGTCTGGATCACATAATGAGGGGACATAACGCTGTAGCTGATTGTATGGCCAAAGCAGCTCTAAATTGGCCACTGCAAGCTCATGTTTATGGGCAACCCCCTGACTTTGTTCTCCCCTTCTTTGAAAACGATTTAGCCTCTATCCCGGTTTGGTGGCAAACAGTTAGCCACCCTGAAATGTAATTGGGTAGCCCCCTTCCTATTTGATCTAAAAAAAAAATTGTATTATGTACAATGAACAATAATCTAGATCAGTGTATCATGACTGCTTATCATTGTGCCTGCTTCACAAAAATTGGCCCTATTACCTGCAATTGAAAACACTGACCAAACAGGTTGTTAAGCAGCAATTAAATGAAAAAGAAAAAAAACCACACGTTTAAATCATATTTATTTCAATCCAGATAAAAGTAAATAGCAATCCAAGAATCCTCTCCATGAAACACCGCCGGCCACCTTCCTCATCATCATCCGAAAGGTTTTGCCCTCTCTCTCCTTATCTTTGCCCTCTTCTCGACCCTCCAATTACAATGTTGAAGCTATGAAATTAGAACTGAGGAAGATGTATCGAACCGTCATCGACATCGAAAATGAGATGCATTATCTTTGTGAAAGAGAAGAAGAAATGCAGGAACTTAACCGATCTACCAGAAACTACAGATGTTAATACAACACCATAAATTAGAAATTAAAGTGTATACCTTTCCCATCCCCAAGTACACAACAGCCATATTAGTAAGGAATGAAATATCCCCATCATCAAGTTTCATAGCTTTTGAATAGTGCTGAATAGCAGTCTCAAAATCCTTCTTGTAACCAGCTTCCTTCTACTTCTGTGTCAGCGGCTTCCTCTTCTTAGTATCCTTCTCCTCCTCCCCATCCTCCTCTAATAGTTTCGTGGACTCTGGCTCCGGCTTCAGCTATGGAGTAGGTTCTCTGATTCGGCTGGCCACTTCCTCTCCCAATCGTTATATCCTACACCACCGCGCACATAGCACTGTGCGCTGCGCGCCTCCCAAAACGACGTCGTTTTGGGTAATGTTGGGAGGCACGATAGGAAGTTGCTGAGATTATGTGTATTTGTTCACAACGTTATGTGTATTGGTTCATACAGTTATGTGTATTTTTTATATAATTATGTACATTCTTTTTATACAATTATGTACATCCGAATCAGAAAATTTGTGTGTATTATGTTAAGAGTTGATGTGTATTATATTAAAAGTTTATGTTTATTATGTATTATGTTAGATTATGTGTATTATCTTTTAAAAAGAGTATGTATATTTTGTTATATAATTATGTACATTCATGTATAACATTATGTGTATTCTAGTATAACATTATGTACATTCTTGAACAGCGGATTTTTTTTTAAAGAAAAAACTACTGTCATTCACTGGGGCGGGAAATTTCAAAAAAAAGAATAATTAAAACGACGTCGTTTTGCATCTGGGCGCATAGTGCAACGCGCGCCGTGGTGTAGGATATAACTCTCCACCGAGTCTTCTTCTGGAATCTCCACATCTAATTCAGGCTGTGATATAACGACATATTCATATTATTGTATTAGATATAGAGGTTGGTGTAATTTTAAATTTCATCTTTAATCAATCTATCAATCTATACTATATATAAAAACAAAATCCTCTAAAGTATATTGATTTCTACTTTTCCATTCGTACAATAATTCTAGGTAAAAAATTCTATTCTAAAATTATAAAATAGTGTAATACAATTCCCTTTGCACATCTATACTATATATAAACGACCTCAAGTGAAATTAACTCTTAAATAATTATATATCAATTTAAATATTCTTAATATATTACAACAATTTCATTCCGTGCATCGCACGGGTGAAAATACTAGTTAATGTTAATCTCGGAGAATGTAAAAGTCATTGCTTGGGTTGATAAATACACTTGTTTATCTTTGCCCAAAAAATACACCTGTTTGTTTAGAAGATTCTTTTCATTGAGCGGGGAAATTTTTCTTAATTTTATTTTCCAAAAATGTTTGGCTTTATTATAGTAGAGGATTTGTGTATATATAACTTGAACTATAATCTTTAATCTTTAATTATATATTATTTATTATTTATATTTATCAATGTTTTAATATTGAGCACGAATTTTCGCGCATAGCTCGTACAAAATGCTAGTTAAAAATTATAAATGCTAAAAAAAAAAAATAGATTTCATAAATAAACATTTTTTGCTTTAAGAGGGAATTTGTTTTTTTTTTTCCTATCAATTAAATGAGAAAATATTTCGAATGAATGTATTTTTTATTACAAAGGAAGGGGGATACCCATACAATCTATGCCTACACTGAGGCTCGAAACCTAGACCTCCCACATAGGGGAGCAATCCGATACCAGTGGACCACAAGCCACCGGTTTCGAATGAATGTATTTGATGGGAATAACTTTGCATAAAAATTTAATTAACATGTTTGGTGTTATCTTAGAACTATAAAAATTAAATTATCTAGAAAATTAATTAAGATGTTTAGTTCGTATAAAATTTTTTATGATTTTTTTTAATATCTAAAATATCCTTGCAATATACAAACATTAAAAAGAAAAAAACATAATGAATAATTGAAAGTTTAATAAATCACTTGTAAAGGAATAAAAATATGCCAAAAAATTCCACTCTACAACAAGAATATTCAAAATTCAAAATAGTATGTATGTTAAAAAGTATTGAGAGAGAATTTTTTTTCGATAAATAATGGTGTTATCTTTCATGGTGGGAGAGAATTTTATTATTATATTTTACAAAAGACTTTTAACCTGACGTCAAAAATGATAAATACGTAATTAAATAAATTTGGTAGATTTATAGTCACTTAAGAAAAAGAATCCTATCTCCCTTGTGTGAGATTTCTTTCCTTGATATCATGAAATTAAATTCCAATTGACCCAAACTTTCTGAATAATTTTCCAACCTTTTAAATTCCAAAAAAGATTGATCTTTTCTCCCCATCAAACTCCCTCTATAAGATAAGATAAAATTGGAGTTAATACCCAAAATTGTCCTCCACTATAGTGGTTTTTCTCAATTTTGTCCTAAACGACTTTGGTCTCATAGATTTATCCCAGACTTTTGTGTTATTGCTCAATATTGTCCTCCGTTAAATAATTCATTAAGTGGGTGTTAAGTATAAGGTTAAATATGTAATTTCAAGGTCTTCTAGGTCACAAATAAGGATACCATTTCATTGCAGAAATAAGGATACCATTTCAGTGCAGAAATACTTAATAATAAGGAGTAAAAAAATGAATATATCCCAGAAACAAATAATATACTCCGTATTTACAAACCAGTTTGGGTATAGGAGGCCTGGCAGGCTTCCTTCTAGGTCATTCTTCTTCTCATTTCAAGCGGCGATCAGCTTTCTTCTTGACCCGATCATCAAGGGTTTGTTCGACAAACTCGGCTTTAGCCTTCCGGTCGTAGCCGAACTTCTTAGCTTCAACTGGGAACAACTCATCGTACTTCATCTTCTTCGCCGCGTCGATGGTGTAAATACTGTTATCTCCTCCGTCAGGACCTGAACCCGAGCCCATTTCTGAGGCGGCAACGGCAGCGTCGCCGGACAAGGGGTCGTCGGAAACGAAGTCGTAAACACATGAACACAGATTTTCCTAATTTTTGTATGGATAATGGATTCTTATAATTTTTTGTATTAAGGTTTCGTAAACACATGAACACAGATTGGCGAATTTGATAAACAGAGACTGTCGAATTTACTTGGCAAATTTCTGGAGAATTATTGCTTGAGCAAACCGCAGTCGCAGCCCCTGGATCAAAATATTTTTGTGGGATAAATAGAGATTGTCGAATTATTGCTTGGCGAATTCTCGGTCAAAATATTTTTTAACCTTTTGGCGCGGTGAAATAAGGAGACCTAGAAGACCAAAATTGAGTGATTTTTCTTAATTCAGTGAAATTACATATTTAACCTTATACTTAACATCCACTTAACGGATTATTTAACGGAGGACAATATTGAGCAATAACACAAAAGTCTGGGACAAATTTATGAGACCAAAGTCGTTTAGGACAAAATTGAGAAAAATCACTATAGTCGAGGACAATTTTGGGTATTAACTCGATAAAATTGGCAATCTATATCCTACACCATGGCGCACGTTGCATTGTGCGCCTAGATGCAAAACGACGTCGTTTCATATATATATATATATATATATATATATATATATATATATATATATATATATATATATATATATATATATATATATATTTTTAATTTTTTTTTTTGAAATTTCGCTACCTAGTGTTTGGCAGTTAATTTTTCTTTAAAAAAATCTCATGTTCAAAAATGTACATAATGTTATACATGAATGTACATAATTGTATACATGAATGTACATAATTGTATAACAAAATATACATACTGTTTTTTAAAAGATAATACACATAATAAAACATTAACTTTTTTTTTATTACAAAAGAAGGGGGATACCCATACAATCTACACCTACACTAAGACTCAAAACCTAGACCTCTCACATAATGGAGCAATCCAATACTAATGGACTACAAGCCACTTGGTATAAACATAAACTTTTAACATAATACACATCAACTCTTAACATAATACACAAAAATTTCATGATTTGGATATACATAATTGTATAAAAAAATGTACATAATTGTATAAAAAATGTACATAATAAAAAATATACATAATTGTATGAACAAATATACATAATCACAACAACTTCCTACCGCACATAATCACAACAACTTCCTACCGCGCCTCCCAAAACGCCGCTGTTTTGGGAGGCGCGCGGTGCACAGTGCTACGCGCGCCGTGGTGTAGAGTATAACGATTGGATAAAATTTACCAATCCAGCAGTTAATGATCCATTTTCCTCCACTACTAAAAATAAAATAAACATATACAAAGATGTACTTTTGTGTCTTGTTGCATCACTTGCATGTATCAACTAATTCTACAACTAGTTTTATCAAACATATATAGCCCCAATCACCTAATTTAAAGTTTTAAGGCTTCCAATTAACCTTTCAGCTAGCCACCTGACAAAGGTTTTGTTGAGTTGAATAGTTTGGATTGATCCCCACGATACACAACTTTTAGAGAAGTAACCCAGCCAAGCTTAAGTTGAGTTTATGTTTAGCCAACCCCAATAAAACTAACCATTAAATCACCTTGGTTAGCGTGAGTGGCCATGCACTCTCATCCCTTAAGAGAGAGGTCGGGAGTTCGAACCCCCTCTCGTATGGAAAAACCAATCTAGCCTGCCCCTTAATTGGGCCAGCTCGGTGCGAACAGGGATTAGTCTAAGTATCAATTGTTATGCTGTGGAACCGTGTCCACCTTGCAAGGTGGACACGGTAATTATAAAGATATATATTCACAATTACATAACTCTATATTCATAATTTTTGAACTTCATATTCACAATTATTGAATCTTTATAATCATAATTACAGTACTATATGTTCATAATTATGTTTACAACTCTATGTTCATAATTATAGAACTATATATTCATAATTTTTGAACTATATATTCATAATTATGAACAGTTTTGGAACAGTTATGTGCAAGGTGGACACGGTTCCACTCACTTCCACAGCATAATTTGCCTCTGGGTATGTTACAGGATTAAAGGCAATCGTTATACCCTACACCACGGCGCACATAGCACTGTGCGCCGCGCGCCTCCCAAAACGACGTCGTTTTGGGGTCGTTTTGGGAGGCGCGGTAGGAAGTTGCTGGGATTATGTGTATTTGTTCACAAAGTTATGTGTATTTGTTCATACAGTTATGTGTATTGGTTCATACAGTTATGTACATTTTTTATACAATTATGTACATTCTTTTTATACAATTATGTACATCCGAATCAGAAAATTTGTGTGTATTATGTTAAGAGTTGCTGTGTATTATGTTAAAAGTTTATGTTTATTATGTATTATGTTAGATTATGTGTATTATCTTTTAAAAAGAGTATGTATATTTTGTTATATAATTATGTACATTCATGTATACAATTATGTGTATTCTAGTATAATATTATGTACATTCTTGAACAGCGGGTTTTTTTTTTAAAGGAAAAATTACTGCCATTCACTGGGCGCGGGAAATTTCAAAAAAAAAAATTAAAAAATTAAAACGACGTCGTTTTGCATCTGGGCGCATAGTGCAACGCGCGCCGTAGTGTAGGATATAAATTGCCGATTAAAGGTGCCTCGTACAGTTAGGGCCTACTCAGGACACCTCGTGGTCTGACAAAAAAAAAAGAAAACTAACAATTATGATGTATGAAAATAAATGCAACCTAAAATTGTTATGACCTATATGAAATCCCTTTGCAAGATTCGATAATTCTTTGAAGGAAATTAACAAGTGAGACCATGCAAAATATTTTGCTTTAACCAAAACTGAAATGTTGAACTTTGTTCAATCAAGTGATAAAAAGTCAGAAAGCAATACCTCTAAGAAATTTTTCATAGTTCTGTAGCTGCAACATAAAACCAGCATTAGGACAAGCCATTGGCCTTTTACTTTTCACAAGTTTCAGCGCTTCAGACATGCTCATACCATGCTTTTTCATCAGATAAGAAACGACAGCTGCCACACTACAATATAAACAAAAGTTTTTCGTTATCTTCATCTCTAACGTATGAAATCACATGAATTCAAGGCAAGGAACAAAAGTTCACCTTCTGGATCTTCCCATATAGCAATGAACCAAAACACCACCTACTCTTTTGCCCTCTTCAATGAATTTAAAGCATTCATCGAAGTACTGTGAAATTTCTACATCTTCTCGGTCCAGCACTGTTCACAAAACAGTAATTGCTACTCACAATCAACTACAAAGCACTCCAATATTCAAAGAACTTGGTTTACTTTTCATTAAATGATTTTCCTACCTGCAGCAATGACCTTGTAGGTAAAATCATTTGGCAACTGTCAAAATATGTGTAATGTTCAAGCTTTTCAATCTAGTTTTATCATTTGCAGCTCCAAGGGAACCCAAATAGAGACCCTATAGAGGTAGAAGAAAGCTCATTTACTAAGGACATCAATAAACCGGAAAGATAAAAAAAAAAAAAAATAAATAAATAATAAAAAGAAAAAGAAAGAAAAAGCTACAATCCGTAGTTAGTACCCCTTCAATCTTGAAAGGAACATTATCCTCCTTAATGATCTTTGTTGCACATAATGCTTGCCGTACAGCTGCAATTTGCTGCTCCATTTGTCTGCCTTTTACCTTTATAATCATATATTGGTGTCAGTTTTATGCTATTGAAGAGAGTGTTGGAGCATTTAAAGGGAAAGGCTTATTTTAGCTTAACCAAGTTGTCCCACATTGATAGTTTAACCTCTCTTTTCCCTCCTTATATACTCCAAGTCATTTGAGATGGTTTGAAGTGTTATGAGAAGGGAAAGGAGGTAAACCATGTGCGGCACTGCTGCTTGTCTAGCTCATCATGATGTGCGGTGGGGTTAATGTTTTCCTATTTTTGATTGCTTTGCTATACTGCGCATCTGTTTCCCGTTCGAAAACATTCACTAGTACAAAAAATATCAATAAAATCAAATAATTCGCGTCCAAAGTTAGAACTTTGGACGCCTAATGTGTAGTGCGGTGGTATTTTTGTAATTAAAATACCACTACATAATTTATTTTTTATTTTTTATGAAATTAAAAAGAATTGGCGTCCAAAGTTGTAGAACTTTGGACGCCTATTATTAAACCGTCCAAATAATAGGCGTCCAAAGTACGGAACTTTGGACGCCCTATTATTAGGGTTAATGTACCCCTTCGTCTTCAGCAATTCATTTTGTCGCGGCACACCAAAACCCTTCGTCTTCAGCAGCCTCCACCGCGCGCTCCCTTCGTCTTCACCTCTCCAAACCACCCTCCACCGCTCCATTGGTGTGTTTTAGTTGATAGAATTGGGGCGTAGTATACATCTTAAATTGATTAATGTTGAAATATATTATTTGGTAGTTATGCTGGGATGTACAGAAAAATATTGGTAGTTTTATAAAAAAAATATTTTTTTTTTAATTTTTTTACTTTACGCGTCCGAAGTTAAGAAACTTTCGACGCGTATAGTTTTTTTAAAATAAATAAACACTATACGCGTCCAAAGTTCACGAACTTTGGACGCGAATTATCATTTTTCGCGTCCAAAGTTCTTCAACTTTGGACGCGAATTATCATTTTTCGCGTCCAAAGTTCTTCAACTTTGGACGCGAATAATCATTTTGCGCGTCCAAAGCTACTTTGGACGCTGATTGTTTATACAATCAGCGTCCCCGACATCTGCGTCCCAGCTACTTTGGACGCGAATTAGCCTTAACTTTGGACGCGAATGACTGTTTCTGTACTAGTGATTACCCTATTTTTGATTTATAGTCCTATTTTTATGGGTAGTGAATGGTTGGCTGTTGCACATGCTTTGCTATATAAATGTGATGTTCAGGTTGTCGCATGTGCCTGCAAGTCTGAAAACAGTACTGCGCATCTGCTTCCAGTTCGAAAACATCACCTTTATACATATCTGCCTGAGAGTCTGTTCAGTTTTGCCGATCGAAAGCATACGACTCAATCCCTGGTCGTGAATGTTTTTAAGGCAGTGTGTTACACACGATACAGAACCGTGTCTTTATCTTTTTCGTTCCAAAGCTTTCATCCACAATGCAGGAAAACCCCAACAGAGAGGTCATCAGTGTGGACACAAATACTGAAAGAACTCAAAGAAGAACAAGAATTGCAATGCTTTGAAAGCATAAGGATAGAATATTATTCAATAATGCTCAATATAAAGTGCCACTAACTTTAAAAGTACCATTTATTACAATTTACAATGCACTACATGATATCATGCACAAATCTTTTTACTTCTTGGATTGTACATAAAGGTCAACTTTGCTTGAGTTTTAAAATGTTAAGCTATTGATTAGTCTCTCACTCCTACAACTTTCAAAGTAAGAGGTATATAATGGGTCCATTTTGATTGTAATCATCTATAAATCAGACAAATGAATTTGAGGAGGTTATGGTGTAAGAATTTTCAGAACATTCTCAATAGCATTATCTTTTCCTAGTCTTTTTCCTTATTTCCTTCTTACTCATCTTCTGCATATCTGCATATCTTCATTTCCTTACATAATTCTACTTGAATCCATTACATATAATACACATTCCAAACACTAATGGGTATGTAATGGTCAGATTAATTATAAAATTGAACCAAATGTCGTCCCAATTGCCCAAACCCCCAAAATTATCCCATTTCCATGTGTGAAATTCAAGAATCCATTTTCTCAATTAATTACAACCGTATGCAGATGCCTAAAAGATGGTTTGGGTTCGATTCAAAATTTAGAATAGAATAAAATATTTATAATAAAAAAAAATCGCAATGGAAGTAAAGATTAGAAAAATCACCTTAATTGAATTATCACAATGATAGGATTACAGAGTATATCGTTGAATAAAACTCTAACTAATCCTAACTAATAGAGAAGCTAAGTCAGCTAATCTAACACCACTAAAACTATGACTATATAATATAAAATAATAATAATAAAATACTAGTCATACTAACACACCCCCTCAAGCACAAGGTTGGAGAGAAGCAACATTGAGCTTGTCCCGTAAAGCAGCAAACCTCGGTGCCGGGAGTGGTTTGGTGAAGATATCTGCTAATTGATCCGTAGTAGACACGTAATTGACGATGAAGTCCCCCGAGGCAACCTTGTCACGAATGAAATGATAGTCAATCTCCACATGCTTAGTGCGAGCATGGAAAACCGGATTAGCACACAGATATGTTGCCCCAAGATTATCGCACCATAGCGTGGAAGGTTGGCCAGAATGCATCCCTAGCTCTCGTAGTAATGACACAACCCAGGTGACCTCAGCGGACACATCAGCTAAGGCCTTGTACTCTGCCTCGGTGGAGGAGCGTGCAACGGTGCGTTTCTTCTTGGATAGCCAAGAAATGAGATTAGTCCCGAGATAGACCGCAAAATCACTGGTGCTCTTTCTATCTATTGGGCAGCCAGCCTAGTCTGAATCGGAAAAGGCATGAATACTGGTTGAAGGCGATGACGTGAGATGCAATCCGTAGTCCAGTATCCCCTTGATGTAGCGTAGCACACGTTTTACAAGAGCCCAATGATCAACTGTCGGTGTGTGCATGAACTGACACAGTCGATTGACTGCGTACGCCAAGTCTGGCCTAGTAATAGTCAAGTACTGCAGGGCCCCAACAATTCGACGATACTGAGTCGGATTCTCGAAATGTTCGTCGGACGGCGTTACTGGCTTGGTGGCTTGCAGTCTACCATCCCCGAATGCCCCAGGAGATCTGTCATATAGCGACGTTGAGACAGGATAAAGCCCTCGCCTGAAGCAATTGTCTCGATTCCCAAGAAGAACCCAGGAGACACCAGATCTCGAATCTTGAACGTAGTGGATAACCGTTGTAGGAGTGTGGCTACCAATTTAGCATCATTGCCCATCATTATTATGTCGTCGACGTAGACTAACAGGAACACTCGGGAGTCCCCCGCAGCATAGTAGAATAAGGATACGTCGGTTTTGGATGATTTGAAACCTGCGGATAGCAGAAAATCATGAAGGCGCTTGAACCAAGCTCATGGAGCTTGTTTCAAGCCATAAAGAGACCGTTGAAAATGACACACATGCCCAGGCGATGTGGGGTCCTCATACCCCGGAGGCTGCTTTATGTAAACGGTTTCTGCTAAGTGCCCGTTTAGGAAGGCATTGTGAACATCTAGCTGCCGGAGAGTCCACCTGTTGGACACAGCTAAAGAAAAAAGCATCCGAACTGTGGTCGGTTTGACCACCGGATTGAATGTGTCAAAAAAGTCTTCTCCTGCTACCTGGTTAAACCCTTTAGCCACTAGCCGGGCTTTGTAACGCTCGACAGAACCATCAGCAGTGCGTTTAGTGCGAAACACCCATTTGCACCCGATGATGTTCATGTGAGGTTGAGGAGGAACCAACCGCCAGGTGTTGTTATGCAGTAAGGCATTAAACTCCTGGTCCATAGCTTCAAGCCAATGAGCGTGGCCCACGGCCTGTGAGTAGCACGTAGGGTCCGCAATTGCGTTCAAAGCATGAAATGGCTCAGCTGTGCCTTTTGTCATGTGACGAAGGCACATGACATGATCACGACTCTGTGGTTGAGCACGCCGTTTCCGTGTCCTTACCGGGGCGGTATGTGTTATAGCCAGTCTTAGAGACTCACGAGCCAGTGGTACCGGCTCTGGGCCGGAAGGGGCTGGTGACCAGCCGGGGCCAGTACCGGGGTTGGGTCCGGAGCTGGACTTTGTGAGACAATCGGTGCAGTTGCCCAAGGCAAAGCCGGTGAAGATGATACTTGTTGTGAATAATCTGTGGAAAAGGGAAAAACAGATTCGTCAAAGCGGACATGACGACAGATGTAGGTTTTTCCACTTGTCAGATCCGTGCACCTATACCCCCTAAAGGATGGTGGGTAACCTAAGAAGACACACGGGGTGGAGCGATATTCAATCTTGTGCCGATTGTATGGCCTTAGATATGGGTAACACCGACACCGGAAGACACGAAGAAAGGTGTAGGGGGGTGAAGTTTTAAATAAGCGGGTATATGAGCTTTCATAATTTATGGCTGATGAGGGTAAGTAATTGATTAAGGTGGTTGCTGTTTCAAAAGCATAGTCCCAATATTGATGGGGTACTTTGCCTTCGGCGAGTACAGCTAAGCCTGTTTCGACAATATGTCTATTCCGCCGCTCTACTCGGCCATT